GTGGTTTTTCTCTTGTGAAAATTAGCTTGCAGCATCAAAACCACACAATTACCCCTCAACCACCTCACAAGCAGCAGTTCAGCCTGTCTGTCACGGGCCTTTACCAAAAGACGATAATTTCTCCTAAAGCACACGCAACCCCGCGCTCTTTCATAAACACCTGCGTGCGCATTTCTCCCCTGCACGATGCAGACATTGACTAGCTAATTATATAATCTGGGTAATTAGAATCATAAGTCAGAGCTGTAATAGCAGCTCTGAAACATTCAATAGAGGCTCATCTGAGAGGAGAGAGATAACAGCCTCGGCCTTGTACTACAGCACCTGAGCGCAAACCTCACACATAGCGCTGGCTGCGAACGCACACGCTTCCTGGAAGCCCTATCATCACATGTGCCTGTGAGCTCTGCAGCCCGGCTCTGTGTGTGTGTGTTAGTCACACAGAAAATATGTGTTATTGGAATGTTTTGATCTAGAGATCACAGTATGTGTGTGTGGGAGAGAAGATGTAGGGAATGGACTAGCTTTCTTATTGAATACAGCACAATAGACACTACTCCTTGTATTTTATATATAGAAATTACTATGAGGCCTACTATTTTTCTATTAAAATCTTAAGTAAAACAGTAGCCTTTCCTAGAATGGAATGCTAGCTTACTACTTCAGCATAGTATGCATTGTATATGGCATATTAATATATATATATTTTTTTATATAATAATCAAGAAAGGCTGTGTCCCACTTGATGTGCACTTGAAGGCTGCGTTCCATTCTGAAGGCCTCATCCCTATGCCCTAAGCCCTTCAAAGGATTTAGCTTCGAAAGGATGAAGGGGGTAGGGGACCAAAAAACTGTTCCATGGAATGCACTTCTGTCATCTTGCATCATCTGCGCCACAAATTAAACCTGCGAAAAGAATCACGGGAGTGAAAAGTGTCCATCAGTTGTACCCTTCAAAATCCTTCATTCTGAAGGGCCCTTTAGAGTGACCAGTTTCAGCACTTTGGTTTGGAACGACCCTGCAATATGGTGGGGGTGGATAAGGTGGATTTATTCTGTTTTGAATGCAGTAATAGTAAAAGTAGATAGATAACAAAAAAATGAATTTCATCATCATTTACTCACCCTCATGTTGTTCCAAACCTGTATGATTTTCTTTCTTCCGTTGAACACAAAAGAAGATATTTTGAAGGATGTTGGTAAACAAACAGTTACTGGTAGCCATAGTAGTTTTTTTTCCATACTATGTAAGTTAATGGCTACCAGCAGCTGTTTTGATTACAAACATTCTTCAAAATATCTTCTTTTGTGTTCAACGGGGAAATTTATTTATTTTACAGATTTGGGACAACATAAGGGTGAGTAAATGATGTCAGAATTTTCATTTTTGGTGAACTATCCTTTAAGCTGGAGGTATACTTCCCTTGTCCACATTCCGCTCTGGCTCGTGAAAAGTCTGCGTGACATATTTTTTGTTAGGTAGTGCTTGAGCACCAAACAAGTCTATCTGCGATCACAGCCAATAGAGTATACTTTGAAGGGTTTGCACATATATATATATGGTTCATGCATCACACTGCAAATGTGCAAATGGAATATGAAGTCAAGCACATTGCATTGTGGGATATAGTATGACCTTTAAAAATATATTTTACACTTTTGCATTCAATGTTGTGTAAAAACATGTCAGCTAAATTGAATATTAGAAATAACTTACAGTTAATTCATCACACTGGAAATGGAAGGTCAAATTGAGTGCACTGGAATGTGGGATACAGTCTTCCATGCAGTGTAGTAGGCTACATCATCCTGAGATCCCATACACAGAAAATGTGAATATCGTGCACAGCATACCTATTATATACTGCATAAATAGTAAAGAGCAGGATATTAGTATGTTGCACATGTTGCAATGTAGTACATCCTCCAAGTATTGCACATTTTGCATACTACTGCACTCTACAGAGACAGTAAGAGCAGTACGTTAGTATGCGATTCCGAACATATCAATCCGTGCCAACGCAGAGGCGGACAAAGTACACAACTCCATTACTTAAGTGAAAGTACAGATACTGCTGGTCAAATATTACTCCAAGTAAAAGTTGTAAAGACAGATTTTTTGACTTAAGTAAAAGTACAGAAGTGCTTGCTTTTAAAAGTACTTAAGTACCAAAAGTAAATTTCCTTTTTTATGTCAATGCACTGTTTTATTATTGTTGTATGTAATACTTGCAATACCTCTGAAGCAATTTACAATACATTACACCTACTGAATACACTGACTAGCTTGTAGTATCTTTGGAATAAAGAGCTTTTAGAATGTTAAAAACCTATGGGGGAAAAAATTATAATAATAATTATTTAACACCCCTACCCACCCCCACAAAAGCAGTGTGTGCACATCTATGTGTAGCCATTCATCCACAGTTGAACAGAGTGGACAGTGAAATTGCTGTAAATACAGACTGATAAGGAAGAAAATCAAAAATCAAACCTGCTTTAAAACCCAGCAACACAACTGTAGCTGTATAACTTTACAACAGCAACACTGCTTTAACAGCAAGACTTATTTGACATCAAAACAAAAACAAAAAAAATGCTGTCTAATCGCTCTTGCTGTACTTTGATGTCACACACAGAACGGTCTG